AGTTCCCCAGCATCCCAGCCTACCCACCTTGCTACCCCAGAGCCTCCCTGGGCCTCACAACATGGCCCCCCGTCACTTCAAATCCGCACTGGGCCCCCAACATAGTCCTCTCATCATGCCAAGGCCACTTAGCTCTCCAGCTTGGCTGCCCCCCACCTCGTCTCCTGGCCTCCCTTTCATGCCAAAGCCCCCACAAGGTGGCTGCCTTGCCATGACTCCCCGCTCTCCCCAAAGTGATCACCCCGTCATGCCACAGCTCTCTCAGTCGCCCAGCCTTTCCTCCCCATCACTCCATGGCCACCCCGTCATACCAAGGCTCTTCTCTCCCACAGCCACCCCCCGAGTCCACCATGCCCCTCTCCTGCTCTCCCCCATTACTCGTGACTCACGCCCAAACCCCCGCCTGCTGCTTTGGCCTCTCAGCAGCAGAGGCTGCGGCCAAAGACCTCCTGCCATTCAGCGGGGAATCGCAGCTGCGCTAGCTCCAGCCCCAACCCTGTGGGCAGCCGTGGGGCACCCTATTGAGCCACCTATGGCTGAAGGCATTGTGTCAGTGCATGAGAAATGTGCCCCCCCGGCCCATGGACTGTCACAGCCTGGGCCCTCAACCTACCATCTGGTCTTCAGGGCACCCGCTGTCTGGTCAGTAACCACCCCAGCCCTCCAGCAGGGGGCGCCGCTCTCCCATCTCTGCTGGGCCCTCCCGTTATATGGGCCATGCTTGGCACGAGGCATCTGGGCAAAGGGCTGGGAGCCAGGACTCCTGGGTTCTCTCCCTGGCTCCAGAACAAGAAAGGAGTTTTCTGGGTCAGGGAAAGGGCCCACCCATGCTGTCAGACATGCAGCTGCCCCCAGGGCCATTAGCCCCACACCCAAATGTATCCCCTTGACTGACGCTCCCCCGAGGGGAAAGACTCTGTCCCTGGGCCAGCCAGCCTGTGCCCCAGGTAGGTGAGAAGTGGGGGGGGGGCTGCTCCCCCCCCCGGAAGCGCGATGAGAGATGAGCCGGGCTTTAATTGGCCTCACAACAGCTGCCTCAAGATAATCCCCTTGACTTTAATTTCTGCCCATGCTCCCAGTCCCCTTGGGGAGGCAGGGATTATAACCCCCCCCCCACCTTGGAGCCTGGGTGTTAGGGCCTGGCCGGGGTGGCTGGCCCCACGATTGAACCAGGGACCCGCAAGGCGGGGCTGCCGGGATTTACCTGCCCTCAGTTCCTGCAGGGTGCACCCTGCCCTGATTTTCCTGGACCTCTGCCCAGCCCGTCCTCTCCCATGCCCAGCGCTGATGAAAGTGCTAAAACTGGCACCCTTCCTCCTCATCCCAAGCCAAGGAATGTGGGGCAGGGGGTCACAATGCCACAGGTAGTGGTACAGCAAAGAAGAAAGTGATACCCAAAGCCGCAGTACCAACCCATGGCCCTTGGCTAGCCCAGCCCTGGGTCTCCCCAGGCTCTGCCAAGCCCTTACTCCGACCTGCAGCTCCCTCCAGTCCAGCCCTGGGAGCCCCCTATGCTAATGCCCCTACCAGCCCAGCGACCCCCCCCTCACTCTAGCTCTGCCGGGACCTCACTTCCAACCCATAGCCCCTGCCACCCCAGCCCTGGGCTACCAGTGCCCTTCACTCCTGACCCATAGCCCCTGCTGATCTAGCACAGCCCCCCACCCCAGTTTGGCGGATGCATCTTACTCCCGATTTACGACCCTGCTAGCCCAGCCCTGGGACCCTGCTAGTGCCCCTCACTCCTGACCCATGGCCCCTGCCAGCCCAGCCTTGCCCCCCCCCACAGCTCTGAGAGTGCTCCTAACTCTTGACCCTGGTCCAAACCCCCACATGCTCCCACTAATCAGCACAAACTCCGGATTTAGCCCTAATCCCTGCTTCTGGACGTGATTTCCCCCTCCATTACAAGACCTGCCCCTTCCTCCCCCAACACTTCCTTTCGGTGCACGGTGCTGTCAGCTCTGATAAAGACCTGGGTTGTGGCTCACTGCATGTGTCAAAATGTTGGTTTGCCCCAAATGACACATCCCTGCTACTGTTTTGAGATTAAAAGGTGTCACTCCCAGACGGGTGGGGGCTGTATTTCTGGGCTGACACCATGTACCCCAATTTTAACTTTATTTTCCTGGCTAGTAAACACACAATAGGCCTGTCAAAATCAGCCAAGTCCAGCTGCAGTGTTCCCGTAGTGCAGGTAAAACAGTGGCACAAAGCTAGGACTGTCGATGAATTAAAAACAGGAAGAGAGAAGCTGCAGCTGATCCGATTCATTAGCGATCAGCAGGTATGGGAGATGTGGCCTGTACTCCTTGCACAACACAACCCACATGGGCACAGCTGGCTCCGAAGTAACTGAGTGAGTTAGGTATCAAAGGGGTCACCGTGTTAGTCTGGATCTGCAAAAGCGACAAGGAGTCCTGTAGCACCGTATAGACTAACCGATGTATTATCGGAGCGTAAGCTTACGTGGGCAAAGACCCACTTCATCAGATGTATGATCTGACAAAGTGGGTCTTTGCCCATGAAATCTTATCATAGAATAATAGGACTGGAAGGGACCTCGAGAGGTCATCGAGTCCAGCCCCCCGCCCTCAAGGCAGGACCAAGCTCCACTTACACCATCCCTGACAGATGTCTATCTAACCTGTTCTTAAATATCTCCAGAGAGGGAGATTCCACCACCTCCCTTGGCAATTTATTCCAATATTTGACCACCCTGACAGTTAGGAATTTTTTCCTAATGTCCAATCTAAACTTCCCCTGCTGCACTTTAAGCCCATTGCTCCTTGTCCTGTCCTCAGAAACCAAGAGGAACACATTTTCTCCTTCCTCCTTGTGACACCCTTTTAGATATTTGAAAACCGCTATCATGTCCCCCCTTAATCTTCTTTTTTCCAAACTAAACAAGCCCAGTTCATGAAGCCTGGCTTCATAGGTCATGTTCTCTAGACCTTTAATCATTCTTGTCGCTCTTCTCTGGACCCTTTCCAATTTCTCCACATCTTTCTTGAAATGTGGCGCCCAAAACTGGACACAGATAGCGAAGGGGACCTGTCCCTGGCAGGGTGCATGGCAGGCAGGGACAATTGTAGGGGAGATGGCGGAGCCGATTGTGGGGATGGGAAGTTGGCAGTATAGAGTGGATCCTAGTGTGGGATAGATCGGGAGGTGACACAGAGGGCAGGGTTGGACGGATCATAGAGCAGGTCATAGGGCGCAGCAGGGCAGATTGCAAAGGATGGCAGGCGGGACAGATGGCAGTTGCGGTGTGGATGGCGTGGCAGGACTGATCATGGGTCAGATCGCAGGGCAGGGTCAGTGGCAAAGCAGGTCGGATCACGGGACAGGATCGATTGCAGGACAGGACAGATCCTGGGGTGGATGGTAATGCGGAGAGGGACCCATTGCAAGGCGGGGCTCACGCAAATTGCAGGAGACCCTGGAGAATGATACGAACAGTTACTGGCTCCGAGGTGGGATGGTGCGTTATAACCCCTGCTCGGTGTCTGTTCCCCGTGCTGAGCAAGCCAGGGGTTGCCCGAGGAAATGTCCGTCCAGCACGTTGCCAGCCTGTGGGACTCTCTGGCACAGGACACTGGGCAGCAAGGAGTGAGCAAAGTCTCAGGGAGACAGGTCCAAGGCTGGCCACTAGCCATGACGGCCTGTGATGCAGTCCCCGCCTGGGATGACCCCGAACCTCTAACAGCCAGGAGGGGAAGGCAGGTGTGTCCCACAATCATGGCTCTGTTCTGTTTGCTCCTGCACCACATGCTGTCCAAGAGAGGGTGCCCCTTCCTGTCTTGCAAAGGGGCTGAGGGGTTCCCAGCCTGATGGCTCAGCAAAGGGGAATGTCCATCCTGTTTGTCATTTCACACTGAGGGCCTTGGACAGCTTGCTCCTTTGCCCCCCACATGGCTGCAGTCCTGCCAAGGAGACCAGGCAGACATGCTAGCGCTGGGCTATCAGGGGGCTGTGAGTCGGGATTTAGGGGTGCCATCAGAACTGGGGAGTGGGAGATCTGTCCCAGGAAATGGACGGATCTCCCATTAACTCCTTTGCTTCCGGGCCCTATTGGAAGGAGTTGGTCCCAATAGTCTGTGAGTCAACCCCCATGTCTCCCCCCGTAAAGCCAGGGCTTAATCGGGGCTTGGGTGTGATTAGTCTTTGGCAAATCCGCTTGGCTCTGCAGCTAAGCCCGTCTTTGCAGCCCTGGGGCTGTGCTGGGCGCAGCACAGCCGGGGGATAAGCCCCGCTCAGCTGAGCTTTCCAGTTTTAGGGGCGATTAAGGAGCCAGTGTTAACTGGGGCAAAGACAGATCCCACTGCCCCTCCCTGTGTGATCCAGGGTGCCCCCCAGCTTCCTAAGGTATAAAAGACCCCTCTCCTGGCCCCTCCGCCACTCGCTGCCACCCGCCATGGCCCCCTCACCGGCCTGAGTGCCCAGTGACATAGGGCTGGAGTGAGCAGAGGCACAGAAACGCTCCCCTCTCTAGCCTCAGCCACTGCGTTCCCTCCTTCCTGCTGGTGTTAGCTGGTTGTATGTCTGTCCATCCATCCGCCCACCCGCCATCTCTCTCTGCCTGTCTGTGTTTGTCTCTCGTTCCATAAATACGCCTCCATCCATCCCGTAGCTTCTCCTGCCCCGATTTCCACAAACACCTTGCCCCACTGCCCCCATCCACCTGGGCCTCCCCTTCCCATCAGCCATGCACAAGACCCGTGACTTGTGGGATGACCTCCCGGAGGATTTTTTCATCCCGGTGCCTCTGGACACAAGCAATCTGACAGCGCTGAGCCCCTTCCTGGTGCCGCAGACTCACCTGGGCAGCCCGGCCATCTTCATGGGCATGTCAGCCTTCATGTTCCTGCTCATCGTGTTGGGCATGCCCATCAACATCCTCACCGTCTTCTGCACTGCCAAGTACAAGAAGCTGCGTTCCCACCTCAACTACATCCTGGTCAACCTGGCTCTGGCCAACCTGCTGGTGGTCTGTGTGGGCTCCACCACGGCCTTCTATAGCTTCTCCCACATGTACTTCGCCTTGGGCCCAACGGCCTGCAAGATCGAGGGATTCGCCGCCACGCTAGGGGGTGAGTGGGGCTGCAGTTGGGAGTCAGGGGCATCGGCAGGGCTGGGTA